AAGGTGGTTCTCTGGCCTCCACATGCGGCTACAGCATATAAATGTCCCCTCCCCTACAAAGTAACTAGATAAATGTAATTTAAACTGTTTTTAATAATATAAAAGGAGCTGGGGCTCTCAGTGATACATGTTAAGTCAGCATATGGGAGGCCTTGTGTTCAGTTCTCAATACTACACACACTATACACTCAACACACATTCACATACACACACAAACACACAACACACACACACCACATACACACACACACACTCACACCACATACACACATACCACATACACACACACACCACACACTCATATACACACATACCACACTACACACTCACACACACACCACACATACCACATACACACACACACACACTCACACCACACTACACACTCACACACATGCACACACGCGCACACACACCGCACACATACATACACACACAATTGTTCCTCCATGTCTGAGGAATTAGTTCCAGGATCTCCCATGGACACACAAAAAGTCCTGACATAAAATGACATTAAAAAAACAAAAAACAAAACCTGACATAAAATGATGCAGAATTTTAATACAACTGAGGCACACCTTTCTAAATTTTTTAACTTTCTGATACATTACTTATTATACTTAATTCCATTAAAACAACTATGTAAGTAGCTCTTTTGTTTGATTGTTTAGGGAACAGTGACAAGAAAGTGTAAAAACAACTACATGTTCAGTGCAAGTGTAATGTTACCTGTGTGTGTGTGTGTGTGTGTGTGTGTGTGTGTGCGCGCGCACATGTTGGTGTGTAAGTATGAACACATGCCCATGGAGGCCAGAAAAGAACCTTGGGTCCCCTGAGATGGGGTTATAGGCAATTGTTAGCGAGGCATGGGTGCAGGGAACCAAACTCTGGTCCTCTGCCAGAGCAGTAAGCACTCTCCAGGTCCCAGATGCAATTTTATTTTTTATACTTTTGATTTGTGGTTAGCTGAATTAAAAAAAAAATTCAGCACCTGTGACTATGGACAGCTGAATACATGTACGTACACACACACACACACACACACACACACACACACACACACAGAGGCACAAGCAAAGATGTCTACCATCACTGGCCAGTAGGAAAATACAAAGCAAAGCCGCCCACTACGAAGACCACAATCACAAAGCAGAAAACGTAGCTATGGGTGAAAACAGAACTTTACACATCACTGGTGAGACTATACAGTGGTGCCAGTGCTCGGGAAAACAGGCAGCACCCCAACTGTTACCACGGTTACCAAGTGACCCAGCAATTCTACTCCTGGCTAGATAGAAGAAGAATGAAAACTTAAATTTGCATCAAATTTATACACCAGTGTCATGGAAGTATTGTTAATAATGAATAAAAAGCAGAAGTGCCCGAAATATACACAGGTTATATACCAAAACTTAGGACGTCATTATAATGGAACATTATTTAGTAATTTAAAAACGAGACTCTTGGAAACATTATGTTAAGTGAAAAGATATCAGTCTGGAAAGAGCACACATTATATTCCACTTCCATGAAACACCAGAAGAGGCGAATCCAGAGAGGAAGTAGGTTACTTGCTGCCTATAACTGGGAACGGTCTGGGAACGTGAGAGTAACTAGTAACAGATTTCTTTGGGGTGTGATAAAAATATCCTAAGTTGGTTGTAAAGATATTTGCACAACTCCATATTTCTACTGGAAGTCAGAACTGGGTACTTTCAATGAGTGAGTTATATGGCGTGTGAATTCTATCTGAGAAAAAGGGAAAGAAGAACTCCAAAAGAAATGGCAGCTACCCAGAGATCATAAAAGACCACACAGGCATTACAACCCGAGTTTTCCATAGGTGGAGAATGACAGAAGATCACAGGACTTTGACATCTGGCCTGTACATACATGCACACACACAAGCATGTGCACACAAGCATGCATATTCACACACACACACACACACACACACACACACCCTTAAAAAAACAGCACACTCATCTTTCTATGACGCTGTATGACTGTCACAAAGGTCTTTCCATCACTGCACATTGAGGGTCTGTATATTAATGTTACAACCAAAGGATTTCTGCAGCCAGGAGCAAAAGATTAAAGGAAGCCGACCAGAAGCCAAGTGGAAGATCTAGATCGGACTCTCAAATTTTAGTATGCATATGGATCTCACTAAAATGCAGACAGTAGTTCTGTAGGGCTAGAATGCAGACAGATTCTGCATACCTCACCAGTAACAGGGTGATGACAAAGTCCTCGGATCACATTTGAATGAGTGAGAGAGACAGACTGACTTCAGACCCACAGGCTTAGGTCCCAGTCTGCCCAATCCTCTACACATACCATTCAAAATGTTTTCTTAGCCAGGCTGAGGCAAAGGTGGGAGTGTCTGCAAGTTCAAGGCCAACCTGCCCTACATAGTAAGACTATCTCAAAATACCAGAGTGCTTACAATTTTCCTTGCCTACTATCCTTAGATCACTTTCTTTTGAGCAACAATATTCTTTAAGATAAGTATCCTCAATAAAAAGAAAAGTTTTCTCCATTGAATTCTATAATACTTTTAAGAACCAGAACTTCGGGGCTGGAGAGATGGCTCAGCGGTTAAGAGCACTGGCTGCTCTTCCAGAGGTCCTGAGTTCAATTCCCAGCAACCACATGGTGGCTCACAACCATCTATAATGAGATCTGGTGCCCTCTTCTGGCCTGTAAGCATGCATGTAGGCAGAACACTGTATCCATAATAAATAAATAAATCTTTAAAAAAAAAAAAACAAAAAAAAAAACCCAGAACTTCAAAATTTGTGAAAAACATATCTGTTCCTTACACATTTTATTGTTATTTTGGCCTTTATTGTTTGTTTGTTTTTATTTTTTTGAGACAGGGTCTCTATGTAGCCCTGGCTGTCCTGGAACTTACTTTGTAGATCAGGGTGGCCTTGAACTCAGAGATCCACCTACCTTTGCCTGGCAGGTGCTTGGATTAAAGGTGTGTGCCACCATGCCTGGCTCATTATCTGGACCTTTAGTCAAATGTCTCCAAGCCGTTTTTATGGTTGAAAGAAAGAAATAATGTGATTGTTGAAATAGAGAAGCTTTAGAGTCACAATTTAACTTCTAACCCTTGCCTTATCAATAATAAATGCTATGAAAAACTGGTCAAATCACACAGCGCCCCTGACTCTTTCATCATACACAGAATGAGGGAATACTATCTATCTCAGCACGGCAGTTAAGGGCTCACTAACGTCTCAATGTCTACTATTCCTGCCTCCAGCCTTCCCACGTACTTGTCTTTGTTGTTGTTGTTGCTCTATCTCAGTTCATTTTTCTTCTGTCGTGTTGACCATTTTAGCTGTACTTTCATGGTGTTTTAAGTGGACTAGGTGGAAGTCTCAAAGTGTTGCATATACTGACTGATCTGCTACGGATTTGTATGGAGTACTTTTCCAGATCAAACATTTCCATGTCTCTAAGTCAAGCTATTTATCCACACACCCAAATCTTGAGTCCTATGTACTTACATGGCCTCCCTATAGGCTCCACCTAGGGCCTTTGTCTGATAAAACTTACTGAAGTGATGAAAATGTTCTATTCTAAGCTGTCCAAGACAAAAGCCTCCAGCTACACAGATCCACTGAAACACTTAAAACACCTTGTGCCACCGAGAAACTTAGTTTTTAATTGTATGTACCTTCAACTTAAATTTAAATAGCTACATGTACTAGAACTGCCATGTTGGAATAGCACAGACACAGTATAAACTGAAATCAAACTACTAAATTAAAGGTTCTCTCAAGCTGCTCTATGTAATTTCCATTTCCTTGTTAGAATGGTTGGCTCAGACATTATAAGCAACCAACACACTCTCCTTCATCTACTAGATAAGATCTTATTAGATTTCAAAGGATTTACTAGCAATCATAATTAAATGTGGTAAGTATCTCTACAGAACATTCTTACGTTAGTACCACGTATTGTTCACATCAATTTGCCAAATGTGTGATATGCAACATTTTTACCAGGTAGTTCAACCACTTAATCTTCAGAAAACTCTTAAGGCCAACTATGAAGCTTCTTAAATGGCTGTACATTAAGTAGTGTGAGCAAGTGTGTATTGCTTTTTTTTAGCTGGTGTTAAGAGAGGTTGATTGAAAAGAGGAGATAAGCAGCCCTGGAAACATCCAACTGTGGTTAGTACATTTTACTCCTAGAATAAGGTTGTAACCATTGCAAATTTGGCTTCTGTAAATACTTTAAAGCGTGTTTTCATCATTCATTAGATCCACTAAAAAGGCTTCTAGTGGCATGCGATTCAACTCAGACATCAAAGTGCTCTACGAGGAACTATAATACTTGTTCACCTACACGTGAAAAACGGTAAAAAGGAAATGTCAGGCAGAAGTTGTGACCAAGGTCATTGGGTAACGTGAGGTTAGTACTGAAGACTCTTTCATGAGGTGAAGACCGGGGGTCCGGACCATCAAGTACGAGGTAATAAGGAATGCCCCTCCAAAGAAATCTCAGGTGGAAGAACACTACTCTAGCCCCGGGGAGGAATGTATTTGGGTTTTTCATGGAGAGCAAAGTAGTGGCTTAACACATTAAACCTGCAAGACGTACACAAAATCTCTCAGGCCATAGCCTTCCTCTACTTTTCATCATTTTGCACTGGCGGATACCTATCCTTAAAGGAAATGAGTTATTTTTCCTTCCTACGCTACCAATAACCTGTAGCTTCTCTAGCAACCGGGTCCCAGAAGCATTTATGCTTTTCTAGAAAGCCTATGGCTCCCTTCATTCAGTGAACAGCGTATCGAAGGGCCTTAAGGAGCTGCCCCTCCAAGGCAGCAGCCACCAACCTGCCAGGGAAAGGAGAGGCGTCGATATTCTCCGAGCCAGGAGCATCCCACACCGCACCATGGGGGCCGCCATCTTGAACGTACCAAGTGGGACGCCGGCCGGGGGGTGAGGCCCCGCCTCCGCCGGAAGTGGACGGTCCCGCAGTTGGTACGGTCCGGGCCGGGACAATATGGCTACGGTGTTCCGGCCCCTGGAAAGGCTGAGGGCGCCGTGTCCTTCGTTGCATCCCGGGGTGACAGGCTCAGGCTCGGCCTGCGGCCGCTGCACTCTCGGAGGTACCCGCGGCTCCACGCTGTGGAAGGAGGGAGGGTGGAAGAGAAGGGAGCGTGAGACCCCGGCGGCGTCTCTCTTTGGAGAAGGCTCGGGCGACCTTTCTTTCCCTCTAACTGCACGTGTGTGCAGCCCGGTTTGCTGGGGGTCGTGAACGCCTCCACTTGGTGCCTGGAGAGCAAAGGGCAGCCAGGGTCTGGACTCGGAAAGGTCCACGTTGCTCTTGGAGAACATCCTCACTCATTGGGTTTCCTTTTCTGCGATGTTTTAGTATCCTAGCCGTGCTGTTTACATCCTAAAAGACTCGAGTCAGGCTTCCTCATCCCCCAAGTTATTTTGCCTTTCTGAAAATATTAAACTGAGACTGCTACTGAGTGGTAATAAAAGTATTTAACGTTCTGGTGTATTTTACATATATGAATTCCTTACCTTCAGTAAGCATCCACTGGTAGAGGTAGAATATTTACATAGTAGGAAACAAGATTGTCACTTGCCCAAGGTCACAAGGAGCTGGCAGAGGGAGTATTTGAACAAAAGACCCGGGTCTGGCAGCTTTACAGGATTCCCTTTTCATAAATAGCTACTTTTATTATTACTTTGTCTTAGCAGAACTCGGTGCACGATTTTTTGGCATGTTTTTTATCTCATGCACAGTCAAAGATGCTGAAGAAGGATACATTCCAGACTTGTTAAGCTGTAGTCAGTGATTTTTGATTTAAGGCTTCTTGAGTCCAGATCTGAAAGGCTATCTTCAATTCAGAAGTTACAAAACTGGAAGTTACCATGTAGCTTTTTCCAATATCCCATGCTTCTCGAACCAAGATAAACCAAACAAAAGTGGTGGTGGTGGTGGTGGTGGTGGTGGTGGTGGTGGTGGTGGTGGTGGTGGTGGTGGTGGTGGTGGTGATGGTGGTGATGGTAGTGGTGGTGGTGTGTGTGATGTCTATGCAATTGCTAGCCCTTAACTAGATGACAAATGCCCATTTGTTCTTCACATCTCATCGTGTCAACCAGTCTTCACACTTCATTAATCATTACCTACTTTCAAATGTAAGACTTTTGCCAAGACTTACATTCTGTAGTAGACTGGAAATGTTTGTTTCCCCACCAGGGATACTATAATATTTGTATCTATCTGGATGGATCATTTATTAATGTAATAAGTGAAGATGAGTTCATTAGAGGCAACCAAGCTCTAACATGTTATTTGCTAGGGAAAAAAAGCAATCCAGATAATTTCACTTATTTTCTTTTTCTGTTCTTTAGCTAAAAGATACCTACTCACAGACAGCATTGTGAAATTGAAGGAATTCCAACAGAAGAAGGTGGCTATTGCATATAACCTTCCCAGCACCAAAGGTAATAGTGTCTGTTTCATTAATTCTTTCATCCATTTGTCATTCAAACTTCCTTTGTGTCTATTCTTTCAAGACCTATCTCATAGAGAAAAAAAAGTGAACAGTTGCTTAGTTTCCTAGTCTACCTTTTATCTCACACTCTGCTGCTTAAAGTCTACAACTTTTCTTTTAGCCCTGACCCCAGGATCCCAGGGAAATAGTGCAGTTAGCCCCGTGACCAGTCATCTAGATCTGTGCCACTCAGAATATGATTTGAGGACCAGCATCAATTGGGAGATCGATGGAGATAGGAATGGAAAGGCAGCAGAGGATTTGTTTACACTATATAGTTCAAGAATCCAGGTGATTGGCTTTCAAATGTTGATTAAACCTTGGTGAAACATGGGCTTTATGATATACTTGTAGGTAAATGAGACCATGGTGTGCTGTAGAATCTAGGATTTACTTTGAAAACTCCATTGTGTTTAGAGTATATAGAAGAATCAAAATTAGCAAACTATTGGTATTTGTTGAGGCTGGTTGGCACTCGACGGTCATTAGATTTTTTTTTTTTCTACTTTTGAGAGGTAGTTCAGGAGTTCAGAGTGTTTGCTGCTGTTCCAGCAAACCTGAGTTTGGTTCCTATCACCCACATGGGGTGGCTCACATCTGCCTAGAACCCTAGCTTCGGGTGGTCCAATGTCCTCTTCTGGTCTTTGTAGGCAGAAACATGCACAAACCCACACCGAGACACACACATGTGCATATAATTTAAATATTTTTAAATTTTAAAAAGCACTAAAGCCATGAGAACACCAATTCCTTAGGCTCCAGTGCCTTTAGCCTCTTGGCAGTCTTGCTGCATTCATTCACTCTGTCCTACAGGGGACCACTTTTTTAGAACATCAGACTCCTTTATAAGCATATCTAAGACTTCTTTCTGGCTTTTTCTCGTTGTTGTTCTGACTTTTAAACAACTCCTGTTTGTCGCTCTTGACTTGTTATAATTAAATGTGTTCTTAGAAGATAATTTCACATATGTCCATGACACATACTGACCACTGTCACCCTCCACTTCCCCACCACCCCTTCCAAATCCTCTCTCATGTTCATGTCTGTTTGTGTTGTTTTGTGACCCACTGAAATTAATCCCGTTAACTTCTTCGGATATAGATCCAGCTCTTTTTCCTCTCACTGCCAGATACTGTTGAGCCTCTGACTTTACTCAGTGCCTCCGTCTCTCCCATCCCAGTCTCCCCTGACTGCTCTCCCAATCATGTGATGCCACGGTGGAATTCAGAGGGAAGCCTTTGGAACAGCTGGGGAGAATGCTTTTATCTCCAGCTGAATACTCAGTATGGGTTCACTGAAGTGTCTCCTTTTTACTTCTTTTATAGATCTTTAAAGATGTATTTAGTTTTGTTTCATGTATGTGGGTGTTTTGCCTGTGTGTACGTCTCACAGAGACCAGAAGAGTGTATTGAGCCCTCTGAAAGGGAAGGTAGAGCAGTTGTGAGCTGTCGTGTAGATCCTAGGCACTGAACCTGAGTCCTTGCAAGAACAATCAGTGCTCCTAACTGCTCAGCCATCTCCAGTCCCCAAACTTTCCTGTTCGTCTTGAATGTTTTTGAGCCCTGTGAGGTTTGCAGTTAGGAAGGACTCCCTGCTGTGGCCTGCTTGTTAGGTCTAATTGTCATGGTCTTCATAAAGCCGTGACGGCTGTGAACATGTTCTGAAATACAGTCTAAAAGTCAGTGCCTGCCACTCCATGTCCGACTGATATTTATATAATCCTCACCCATTTCAGCCTTTTTAGGAGCCCACAATGACATCCTTTTACATACCCCACTGGTACAGACTTTTCCATAAGAGAGCTCATTGCTGCTCCTCCACTTCTATGAAACTTCTGTGTTCTGCTGCTTGGCGTTACAATAGACGTCAAAGTGAGGCTTTGCGTACTGTTTGTATCGTTCACATGCTCTGGATTAACAACAGCCCATTTTCCTGGTAGACTTTAAGCTCCGTGGGAGGAGCCAGAACTTTGTGTGAGAGACACATTGCTCTGATTGTGACTATATGGTAAATACATGAAAGTCAAACTATTTAAGTCCTAATTTACGTTTTTTAATGTTTTAGATTTACTGGGTTTATTAACAGTTAAGAGGTGCAGAATGCAAAACCATTGCCTTGGAATCTTTGAGATGCGAAATTGCTTGGAAATCTCTAAAACTGAACTGTTTAGGTCCAGCAGGCATAGGATGAAGATGAGGTTGCTAATGCCATTGCTTCCCCAGTAAGGGAAGCTCTGACATGAGAGGTGCCCTCGGTCCCTCTTGGCAGTGAGCTCTGGCTGAACCGCTCCTCCCTGAGGGCAGCCTCCTTCCCATCCCAACCATCCTGAGTGATTGCCGCCATGTTGTGCTTTCCTTCAGAGATCTATTTCCGAAACTTGGAGGAGAAACTGACGCAGAACAAACTCATCTTGAAGGAGGAGTTAAAAACACTGCTTCACCTGTGTCAGTCCCGGGAGGATGTGGAACTGGCCAGAAGTGTCATTTACAGGTGAGGCCTTTCCTGAGAACCCTGTCAGCCTTTCACGTCTTCCCACTCGGCCCTTCCCAGAGTCGTCTCCTCCACCTTCAAGACTTAAGCTGTCACCTCTACACCGATGACTTCCAGATATCTTACCCTAACGCCTGCCTTCAACCTCGGACGTTGATACTTATTCAGGGGCCAAGCATAGGGAAGCAGCTCATAAACTACCAGCAGACTGGCCAGTACCTCCACTTACCCGTCCCCCAGCTCCTCAGCATACCCCTGTGCTCCTCTGACAGCCCCCAGTCACACAGGGCAGGTTTTGGAGCCTCTATTCCTGGGTAGGAGACAAAGGCTGTTGCTTGCTTCCTCTCTCTGATGCCAGTGGCCTCCTCGCCCTCCTTTCTGCCTCCTGCATCGTTTTGTAGATATTACTAGAGACCTCCTTTGTCAGAAAGGAAGCTAAAGAGCAGTGCTTCTCAACCTTCCTGATGCTGTGACCCTTTAGTACAGTTCCTCATGCTGTGACCCCCCCCCCAAACCATTACATTATTTTCTTTGCTACTTCATAACCGTAATTTTGCTACTGTTAGGATCATAATGCAAGTATCTGTGTTTTCCAATGGTCTCAAGCGACCCCTGTGAAAAAGTCATTTGACCCCCACTAAAGGGGTCTCAACCCACAGGTTGGGCACCTCTGTGCTAGAGGGCCTGAGATTTCCCGGGATTTCTGACGGTTCTGTGCTCGTCACGTGTCCTTACCCTTTCTTCTCTAGTGCCGCACTGGTCATTAGCCTGGTGTGAGCTGCACAGCCCACACGAGACTGGACGCTGCCAGGCCTTGGAGCAGCACCACAGGCAGTGCAGCTTCTCCTGGCCATACCAAAGTTGGATGTAGGAAAAGGGACCCCTCTTCTGGATAGCTGAGGCAGCAGGTACATGTCGGGAGGGATGGAAATGCTAGAAACTATCCCACTCGCCAATGTTTACATAGTTTTTCACAGATTCTTATGCAAATGTTTAATGGTTTTGGTAGTTTTCTTTTATATAGTTTGGGTGTTTTTGTTTATTTGTTTGTTTGGTTTGGTTTTTTTGAGACAGAGTTTTTGCTGTGTAGCTATGTAGCTCAGACTAGACCAGCCTTGAATGCAGTTTTCTTGCCTTGGTTTCCTGAGTGCTGAGATTACAGACATATGTCACCACACTCAGCTCCTTCTAGTTCTACTTATTACTATATAAAAGATCGTATTCTCTAAATTAATATAGCATGCTTTATTCTTACTACTTATATATTAAGAACCATATTTTAGTGACGCTACAGTATTTGTCTTAGTTAGGGTTTCTATTGCTGCAACAAAACACCATGACCAAAAAGCAAGTTGGGGAGGAAAGGGTTTATTAGGCTTACATTTCAGCATCACTGTTCATCACTGAGGAAGTCAGGACAGGAACTCAAACAGGGCAGCAGGATCCTGGAGGCAGGAGCTGATGCAGAAGCCATGGAGGGGTGCTGTTTACTGGCTTGCTCAGCCTGCTTTCTTATAGAACCCAGGACCAGCAGCCCAGGGATGGCACCACTCACCATGGGCTGGGCCCTCCCCCATTGATCACGAATTGAGAAAATGCCTTACAGCTGGATCTCATGGAGGCATTTCCTCAGCTGAGGCTCCTTCCTCTCTGATGACTCTAGCTTGTGTCAAGTTGACACACAAAACCAATCAATGTAACACTCCACTATACATTAGGACTTTTAATCAACTGTGCCCTGTTCTTAGACATCTAAATTCCTTCTTGGTTTTCCTCAGCACAGCTAATGTCATGGTGAGTAGCTCTAGAAAACTTAGGTACTCTTTGTGTTTTGGGTCAGAGTATAGTAGTCAGTTTTTCATTACCATAACAAAATGCCTGAGATAATCTGTACATGGAAAAAGGAGATTTATTTGATTTATGGTTTCGGACATTCTAGGGCATGACACTGGCTTCAGCTCCGTTCTCCTGAAGATCTTTGCCTGTGTCACACTGTGCTGGTCAGTGCTGGTAAAAAGCAATCATGTCTCAGTGTCGGAAGCCGTAAAGCTGGGTGGGACCAGCCTCGGGCTTTTATAGTAACTCCTCTAGAACTTGGGGGTGGGGGAGTCACATGAAAATACCTAATCTTTTTGAGAGCAATATCCTCAGTCGGTCTAAAGACATCTCATTAGATTCCACACTGGGGAACAAACTTACAATACGCAAACCCTTGAGAAACAAACCAAATTCAGTCTACTACACAGCCTATCAATAAACCTTCAGGTCTTGTCATCAGAACTAATTGGACATCGTCGTTTGACTCTGGCTGTTTTTCTCTTATTTTTCCTATTATTCCCCTGAGCCAGGAGATACCTAGGAATAACACAACAGGACAAAAAATCTGCACACTTTGCCTTTATATTCATCATACACATCCAAGTGTGACTCGTAGCTCTTCACTGATGCTCATGACACAACCCAGGTGCTTTTCTTTGCCGCTTTTATGAACAGCTGGGCAGGTTGGTGCATCCATGGTCTAACCACCCTGTTCACTGTCCTCCTGAGACCTGCAGCTCACGGCTGGGAAAAGCAGTCATGGGCTGAACCGGAAGCTCATCTTTATGGGGCCACAGTGGGAGTGACTTAATCCCTGTCATAATCTTGCTCCAGTGCTGGTTAGTTTATGGGGACATTTTAGATCCTCCCTTTTATTGGCGTTAACTTGAAGCTTTTGCTTCCTGGTTTTAATCTGGCACTGGTTCCTCATTTACTGAAATGTATAGATTTTGAAGATGCCTCACATTTTATAATAACTACTACCATTAAAGAATTGCCATGTGCCAAGCAGAACCCATCCGGTTCTCCCAGATTCCTTGAGTTCTCATCTCCACTTCACAGATGAGGAACTGATGCTCCAAATGATTAATTGATTTTCTTACAGTCACGTAGTTTATAGGTAGTAGAGCTAGACTGGAACCATCATACAGAAGCAGTCAGAGTCCTTCATCCCTCCATTTTCTTGTCCTTAAGAACTCGTGTCTCAAACGCTGTAATGAAGCAGGTCATGTATTTGGTAGCCTGTCTGTTTACAACACCCCAGCCCTAATGCCGCTCCAGCCTTCCTCTGTGGTTTTGGCAGAAGGTGAAAGGTTTTCTGGTAAAGTCAGCTTTCTCCACTAGTGTTTTAAAGTCATTGACATGATGAAAATCTGATGGATGTGTGATCCTGAGGTGTTCCCTTGGCCACCAGATTGTCATCTTAAGTGCCTACAGCGGCAGTGGCTGGTTACAGGGAGTAGTTTGTGTTGGTCAGTTTCAAATGACTGACTGGCCACCCCTAGAACAGTAAGCTCTCACGGCCATTAAAATTAGCCTTCCCCCAGGACTTCAAATCTCAAAGTGCATTTAATTTTTTTTTTTTTTACCTAGGTGGCCATAGCTCATGTAGGCCTTTACCTGAATTTAGAAAAGCAGAGGTTGATGTAAGTTACAGCTGCCTGTTGGTTGTGTGACATCCTACATGGGCACGGAGCACGTCCAAGGGCCTTTCCTCTGTTCTGTAGGTGGGGCCCATTCTGAGGAGACCCTGCTGTTCTGTAATATGCTTATACACATTCTCGGCCCAGCAGGTAGTTGCTTAATTTAGGGGATGATTACAGTGTGTGTTTACTTTTAATTTTCAGAGTATTTTTGGCTTCTAACAAAACTCTTTGTTTTAATGCCCAGTATATTAAACTCTGGAATTCCTGATTTTATTCAGATCCCCATTTCTCCCAAACTAGGAGTTCCTTATTCTTTATTGTGTTCCCATCACCTAGCAGAATGCACACTATTGTTTGTGTCCATCCTTGTGGGTGTATTGTATGTGTGGGGTGTACATATGTTCACGTATGTATACATGTGCATATGCGAGTGCATACACATGGTTAGAGGTCAGATCTCTTCCTCGGTTGCCCTAAACCTTGTTTTTTAAGACTAGGTTTCACTGAACCTGGAGCTCGGTGATTGGCTACACTGGCTCTCCAATAAGCGCTGAGAATCTTCCTGTCTCCATCTCGCCAACATTGGAGTTTCAGATGCATGCCCTAAGCCTGCCTTTTCCATGTGTGCTGGGGATCCAAACTTGGGACCTTCTACTTGCTAGCTGAGATCTCTACTCATTCCTGTGTCTGTTTTTTTTTTTGGTTTTTTTCGAGACAGGGTTTCTCTGTGTAGCTTTGCGCCTTTCCTGGAACTCGCTTTGGAGACCAGGCTGGCCTCGAACTCACAGAGATCCTCCTGGCTCTGCCTCCCGAGTGCTGGGATTAAAGGCATGCGCCACCACCGCCCGGCCCTGTGTCTGTTTTTGCTATACCCTGTCTTTGTTCATACAATAATCTTGATTACCAGGTACCATACAGAGAACAGAAATTTCACTGTGGGGGAATATAAGTTTGGACCAGTTTTCATGAGGCTTTGCTATGAGTTGGATCTTGAGGACTCTGCAGTGGAGCTCATCAAAGACAAGGTTAGTGATTTCCAGTTCCTTCCCCTGCCAATGTGTTCTGGTGTTCTTGGCGCTGTTAGAAAACACATCTTTTCTATGGCATATTATTTCCTGAGTAAGACTTTCAGGGAAAGACCACTGAGCTGAATAAAGCTCTCTGCTTTTCAAATCTTTCCTTAGGGTTGGCTCACAAGGAGACTTCCAGGTGTCTTGGGAGGCATAGCATAGCACAGAGGCTACTTTGGGTGTGTGTGGTGACCTAGGACATAGATCCTGTCTCCAGAGTTCAGAGGCAAATAGTTGAAGACCAGCCATTGATTTCCTATCCTGCACCTGCATTCTCTCTCGTGTTTTGTTTTTTATTTTTGGTTGAAGATTGTATTATTTATAACTGGCCAAGTTTTAAAATGCTCTTACACGTTCTGGTTTTCTTTTTCTAAAACACAACATAATTTTGCACATCAGTAAGATAACTCAGTAGATAAAGGTGCTTTGCATGCAAGTCCAACGACCTGAGTTCAATCTGTGGAACCCGTGCAGATGTGGAGGGGGAGAATCAGGTCCACACAGCTGTCCTCTGACCTCCATGCAAGCACCATGGCACGTGCACTCACACACATACACATGATAATAAATAAATTGTAAAAACATTGTTAGTTACTTACTGAATACTTACTGTATCTTCAGCCTTTTCCCACAGTTGTTATTACTATTATTATATAATCATTATTCCCACAACGGCCTAGTTCCAGGTATGATTATCATTTCTACCTCACAGAAGCTGAAACTGCATTAGCGGCATTAGCAATTCATCCATGGCCAGAGACTCTCGATTTGGGCTGCTGTCCACCATGTGCAATTTAGTATATTTAGGAACTCCAGAGTGAAGTGATCTGGCGTTGCCTCCTACTCTTTTTCACTTAATGTGTTCTGTACTGATGGAACTAGCCCTAGGCTTGACCTTTTTATCTGAGACAAGTAACCCAGGCTAGCCTCAAGCTCGCAACCCTCGTGCCTCAGTCTCCTGAATGGTATGACTACAGCTGTGTACCACCATGCCTGACATCAGGGTTACCCTTCCCTAAGAACACCGTGCACTAGGAAGATGGTCACAACAGTTCCAACATTTGATCTTGTCTTCTACTTAGAAAAAAGAGAAAGAAAGAAACACACACAAGAGCTGGGGACATACTCAGTGGATAAGTACTTGAAAGGAACCTGAGTTTGCTCCCCAGAACCCATATTTTTAAAAAGCCCAGCATGGCAGAATGTACTTATAATCACAACACCAGAGAAATAGAGACTTGTGAATTCTTGGGGTTCATTGGCCAACCAGCCTAGCCTACTTGTGAGTTACGAGCCAATGAGAGACTCTGCCTTAAAAACAAAAGAGGTGGCCTGGTGGTGGTGGCGCACACCTTTAATCCCAGCACTTGGGAGGCTGAGGCAGACAGATCTCAGTAAGTTCAAGGCCAGCCTGGTCTACACAGTGAGTTCCAGGACACCCTGTCTCAAAAAACAAAACAAAACAAATAATAAAAATAAAAAATAAAAAACAAAAAAACCCAACAACAAAAAAGAGGTGAACCTTAACTAAAAAATGGTATCCAAGATTGTTCTTTGGCCTTCGCATACACTGGCATATATGTGCACCTATACCCACACATAGACATGATGACATTCTTGTATATATATATTAAAATCTGCAAGGTAAACGATGTCTTTATTATTATTAAAACCTCACTTGTTGGCCGGGCGGTGGTGGCGCACGCCTTTAATCCCAGCACTCGGGAGGCAGAGCCAGGCGGATCTCTGTGAGTTCGAGGCCAGCCTGGTCTCCAAAGCGAGTTCAGGAAAGGCGCAAAGCTACACAGAGAAACCCTGTCTCGAAAAACCAAAAAAAAAAAAAAAATACAACATATAAAAAAAAAAAAAACCTCACTTGTTCATGTAATTCGTGTTTCCGTATTTTAAAAAAATCTTTTAATGTTACACTCAGAGAATAAAATGTTCCATTGTTCCAAGTCAAGATGTGACAGTAGAAATAAAACAGAAGTAAGTTTTCAAATCTTCCCACGTGTACTAGAGGTGGAGTGACCTGAGTAAGAACCGAGGCCTCAGATGCGCCTGCGACGGTGTTTGGTCCCCCACTGTCACTCTATTGCTGTCGCTATTCTCTGTATCCCTGGTGGTGACCGAGACTGTGGCTCTGTTCCTGTCTTCACCCCTCTTACCCCCTCGTTCCCCTTCTCCCCAGCTGGTACCTCAGCTCTCTAGACTAAAACCTAGCCTGCATTTGGAGCAGACTTAGTCTCAGCGGCTAGAATCTACATGGTAGGCTCTTAAGAAAGAACAAAGGAGAAAAACACTTCATGACATTTAAATATCATGTCACATTATGGCATTCAAAATACTGGAAAGATGTTAGAAAGAGGGATACTGGTCAGAGGTTATACAATTGACATAAAAGACTTGAACTGTTGTAAAACATGGTGGTCATGGTAACAATATAGTCTTTAAAAGTTAGGAAGAAGCCGGGCGGTGGTGGCGCACGCCTTTAATCCCAGCACTCGGGAGGCAGAGCCAGGAGGATCTCTGAGTTCGAGGCCAGCCTGGTCTACAGAGCGAGATCCAGGACAGGCACCAAAGCTACACAGGGAAACCCTGTCTCAAAAAACCAAAAAAAATTAGGAAGAGAATAGCTCTTAAGTTTGTACACGACGCAATACACGTCCCTGACCTAGCTGTTCTGCTAATGTAGTTTAAAACCAAATATAATGGGTAAGTGCACAGGTGGTTTTGTCGATTAAACTAAATACAAGTCAGAAACGATGTTGAGGGCCACTGGGTTAGCAGCTGATTGTCAAAAGTGAGTGACTCTGTTACCTGGTGTGACGACTGTCGTCCCGTGAGACGGACGTTCTTGCCTTCATTCAAAAATCACCTTGCTGCCGCCATTCGATAGCACTTGGTGCCAGGTTCACGGCCTCTTTCCTCATTCTGCACTGCTCACTACACCCAGAGTGTCCGTTCCCAAAGCTAGAACAGTGTTTAAAAGCGAAGCTTTGAAAAATCCTTTGTATACCAAACGACTAGGGAGTTCAGGGAACCACAAATAAAAACCTGTAGAACAGATTCTCAACCTGTGGTCACGACTCTTTGTCAGTCGAATGACCCTTCCACAAGGGTTGCCTAAGACCATCAGAAAACATGGATATTTACATTACAATTCGTAACAGTAGCAAAATTACAGTTATGAAGTAGCAATGAAATAATTTGATGGTTGGGGGTCACTACAACATGAAGAACTGTAATAAAGGGAAGAAGCATTAGGAAGGTTGAGAACCACTGTAAATATCCAGCCCCTGTGTAGTGGTGCACACCTTTAATCCCAGCACACGGGAGGCAGAGGTAGGTGGGTCTCTATGAGGCCATCCTGTAGTCTACATAGTGAGTTACAGGACAGCCAATGCTGCCTAGTGAGATCTGTTCTCAAAAAGAAAAGAAAAGCAAAAAAGGGAAACAGTATGTGGCATCCCCTTAATAGTTTTAACTTCTGACCAAACTATATTGTTTCTCCTCACTAGCGTTTACGAGGTTTCTTCTTAGACTCAACGTCATTCAATATTTTGATGGATATGCTATTTACTAAAGGCAAATATGAAAGTAAGTACTACAGTCTGCGGTTGTGGAAAAACTACTCGAAAAGCAGCTGGGGTGGGAAGGACCATAAAAGTGACCCTTAGCTTCCTGTTGAGGAGCCGCACAGTGACCTCACTTCTTACATTTGAAAGGATCAAATTGTATATGGTGGCTGAAATGAGCCAACCTCAGATTCTCTAAAACCTTAGCAGTTTTCCATGCATTCTTCCTGCAGGACCTGATGATTTAATTTAACCTTTATATAATTGCTTTTTGACATCAAGGCATGGCCTTTATCATGCTAAAATCTGCTTTTTGGTAGGTGATGCTGAACTGATTGGAATTTTGGGAACTGCCCGTAGGTGCCTCTAACCCTGCTGGCCCACTCTTCACTTTTGGCAGGTGCCCTGGAAGTACTGATTGAAATGAAAAACCAAGATGTGAAGTTCAGCAAAGACACCTACATCCTTGCTTTTGCAGTTTGCTACAAACTGGTAAGACTACGCCCCTTAACTCTCAGAGCATTGGGAATTGAGCAGTATCTGAGAGAGGGTTTATTTCCCCCACACACACCCCTCTTTCTTTCTTTCTCCAGTTCCTCTGAAGTCTGTTTTCCATCTGGTGCAAATATTTTCATTTTAAATGTATCCAGCTTTAGAAAACTCAAGTTAGCCTTGTCAGATACTTTTATCATGGGAAAAAATCATCCTTCGCCCCTCTTTGGCAAGCATGTAGATCATGAAAACAAGACCAGTTCCTGCTGAACTCTAGAGTCCCTCGTAGGTGAGACTATACTGGATCGTCCTCACTGTTGCCTTCTCGGAAAACCATCCCGTCCTGCTGGGGCGGACTCCACATACGACTGCTGTCATGGAGTCTCTCGTTATTACTGTTCTTTAAGTGTGCGAGTGGTTTGCCTTTAAGTGTGTCTGCGCCGCCACACGCATGCCTGTGGAAACCAGAAGAGGGCATCTGATCTCATGGATCTGGAGTTGCAGATAGTTATGAACCATCATGTGGGTGCTAGGAATTGAACCCCGGTCCTCTACAAGAGCAGCCCATCTTAGCCATCTCTTGAGCCCTCTACCACATATCTTGACTTCGGTTTTTACAAGCCTTTGTAAACCTTTAGGTCACTTTTAGCTGCAGGTTACAGTTGGCCCAAGGGCTATGTTTACTGACCTCAGGACGAGATATTCCTTTCCAGTCATCCAGCACTAGAACGTGGGTCATTCCGAATGGTGATTCCTAGGTAGGCAGCCTGCTCAGGCCTGCCTCCCGGGGTGCATGTTGAAGTATAGAGAATTTGGTTCTGCTTCTTAAGAAGGGCCAGAGGATGTTTCTTCCTGTGTTGTATCCAAGAGTAACTTGTTTCATTAAGTGGAGACAAGTTTGGAAAAGCAGCTGCCAAGGTCTCCACTCACCCCTGGCAACCGCCCCACATAAAATTCAGACTTTGTTGGGAGGACTGAGGGGTGAGTCTGTTCACAGACACACAGATGCAGGGCTGGGGCTGCCCTTATAAACCCATTCACCAAACCCAAAACCTGGGGGCCTGGTTTACATTGCTGATTGGTGTGTCACTTTCTTAGATTTAAAAATCAACTTTCCTTTGTAGTTAGTTGTATTTATTTTATTTTGTGTGTATATAAGTATGTGCACCGTGTGTGTTCATGGTGCTGGCAGAGGTCAGAAGAAGGCCTCAGATCACCTAGACTGGAGTTACAGACAGTTGTGAAGGTGCTGGGAACTGAACTCAGGTCCTCTGCAAGAGCAACAAGTGCCCCTAACTGCTGACCGTCTCTCCAGCCCCCTTAGATTTTCTTTTTAAGTTTCTGTTTTCATGGGATTCTCTTATAACTTATGTTATATTAGTGTTAATATTTTCAAGTATTTGGCTTATCTGGAGGTTTTCAAGCTAGAACTTGAAATTTCCCTAAAGGAAATTTCCCTGTGTTACTGAGCATACCCCATTGTGGCGCTTATGCTTAGAAACTAGCCTACTGGCATACACAGAGACCTACATGTTTACAAGTGAAAACTGGCCTACAATGGAAATAGACAAGCTGAAAAATAAAATTAATTTAGAGATGAACTGCTACCATATAAATAGCCCAGTCTATTTGCAAATGGTTTCTGTATAGCTTAATTTTTTTTTATTTTTAAGATAATATACATATCATTTCTTCTTCCTTTTCCTCCCCCTGACCCTCTCATATACCCCACCTTGCTCCCTTTCAAATTTATGGCTTTTTTCCATCAATCGCTGTTACATGCATATATGTATATGTGTACACAGATATATTGCTCAACATAACCTACTCAGTCTGTATGTTACTTGTATGCGTGTTTTCAGGCTGACCATTTGGTATTGGATAACCAATTGGTCTAGTCTGTTTCTCCCACTCTCAGCCTTCATTCCCTAGTTACTTACAATTTGTTGTGTAGGGTTGAAGCCTGTGCTCTTTCCCCAGTCCACAATGTCATGACTGTCGAGCTTAGTTTTTCAAGTGACTTCAGGTAGGAAATCTGAGATACTAAGTTCCGTTAATCGTTACACTCGAAGGTTCATGACATTGTCTGAGCAATCCCATCTCTTCACAGAATAGCCCGGAATCTTTTAAAATTTGTACAACCTTAAGAGAAGAAGCCCTAATTAAGGGAGATGTCGTCTCCAGGAGAGCATGCTGTTTTGCAGTGGCATTAGCTCTGAATCAGGTAAGGCCTTGGGGCAGAGGAGACATGAATGAATTGGGAGTGGGTAGGACGTTACTGATTCCGCTGTTCCTGTTTTTCGTTTATTTTTTCCCTCTGAACTATATTGTTAAGAAATCCAATAGTGAAAGCAATGCCTTTGTTACCACAGGAATTTGCAGCTAAGTCTGTGCCTGCAAAGAACGTTTTGTTTTCACGTGTAACTGAAGACCCAGCCTGCATTTCTGTGTAGAGTAGGTAGGCCAAGATCTTGTGGAGAGTCAAGAAGGAAGCTGCAGTCTGAGAGAAATATCCTTGTTATAGTAAAGATGGCACATGCTTCCTGTGTAGCATTCTCAGAGAGCATCTTGCATTAGTGAGGACTCCTGGGACAGTCCTTGCAAGTTAGACCCATCTCCTGTTATTTAGTTGAAGCCTTACCGTTCCCTTTGTTCCTCATCCCCTTATTGACAAATGAGTCAGCCAAGGCCCAGGAAAACAGGCGAAAGAAATCCTTGAGGTTGATCTCTGCGAAGGACATAGTACTGGAATACCTGCTGTCTTAAAGAGCCCCACCTCTGAGATTCCCTCGAGGAAGGCCCAAAATATATGAAATACTTTACACATTGGCTATGTGGTAAATGAAAGTCTCATGATAGAAAATTCTAATCAAGGTAGGTTATTACCCAGCTAGCAAAACCAGGCTGGGGAGTGCTTCCTTAAAGTAATTAGAATAGGTACTTAGAACTGAAGGGTGATCGTGTCCTTAGTGCTGGGGAAGGCACTCCCACCAGGCACCAACTGCTCATGATCACCTCCCTTATCGGCTTTCCTGTCTGTCGGGGAAGGTGTTTTGTGTCTTCCTCCTCTGCCAGGGGCTGAGTGACATGGATGAAGTCTCGTCTGAGACGCACGTCCCCAGTCTTTTTGCAGCTCTTGTAGTTTTGCTCTTATGAAATACAAGTCACGCCATCAGGACTCAGATAAACCCTCCTGTCGTCTTCGGGACTCTCTGTTGAGCCTTGTGCAGGACTCTCCTTGGTTGAGTGATCACTGCCCTGACTTCAGCCTCGTCTGATAGCATCACCGCCTTTGTTCCTGTTGTCTGTCCGCGTTTATCACCTGTGCATTTGTGTGCTAATACCTTTTTAGTTGTTTTATTCGGAGTCTTCCTGACTTGTTTTGGTTTAGGTGTATCTCTTATATGTTGCAGAACCTCAACTTGCCTTTATAATATGACCCTAGTCTTTCTTTATCTGTTTATGTGACATGAATGCTCTTAGTGTTAGCATTCAGACCCACCCCTTGGGACCTGGATAATATGCAGCAATATTTTGGCCTGCTCAGAGTCCTGACAACTGTGGGAGTCTGCCAGAGTCCAGCTCCGACCTGCTCTCACCTGTTGAAGGGTCCTTGGGTGGAAGAGAGAGGAATGAGGAAATACTAGGTAGAAAGATAGAAAGAGACAATAAGAAAGACAGAGACACAGGATAGCTTCAGGAGGGCCTTGGGTCAATACCCAGACACCCAGAGCTTTATTCAAAAGGGCTTTTTATAATATGCCAAGGGGAGAGGCAAAAGACCTCCTTGCAAGGCCAAAGCACACCGTACAGCCAAGTGTAGACCCTTCCAAACATCTGGTAACCACGCCCATGGCCAAATCATCCCATTATGCAGCCCTGCTGGGTAAAGCAAGCTCAGATTCTCTGACTGTGAGTAAGTTCTCACTAGGAAGCCTCTGGGGGCCACCACAGACAACATCATGTGCTCATTGCTAAGCAGTCTCTCTGCGCATGCGCCAAGTCTCCTTATAAAAGGTAGGGCCCCGCCCTCCTTATCTCTTCTTTTTTTTCTCTCCTTCTCTGAGCCCCCCACCCACTCTCTTTCTCTCTCTTTCTCTTCCTCTCTCTTTTCTTCTCTTTCTTTCTCTTCCCATGAGGCAGCTCTGCACTCCCTTTTCCTCTCCCCTCCCCCTTCCCCCTTCACCTCTAATAAAACTCTCCACATGACTGTGGCCTGCATGGTGTGTCTCTGTCTCTTACCCACCGTGGGGCATCTTGGCTCCAACCCACCACCATCTCTCTCCCACCATTTTGCAATCTTAGGTGGAATTTTATTTGGTGCTTTGTATTCTTACAACTTAAAATATGACAATTTCTACTACTGCTGTGCTAGCTACTTTTAAAGTGAAGTTGGCCAATTTCTGAATGGAGCAGGATGGTGACTTGTGCTGTTTGTCTGAAAGGGGAGTGCAGTGTTTTCCTGCAGGTGGTTTGCTCTGTTTGTAGGCACTGGGTGTCAGCCAGGGAGGCAAACCGAAAAAAGAACTGGGGGGCTTTCTCTTCTTGTGTCCCCTGTAATTCCTTATTAACTGCTCAGCCTCACTAACTCTAGAGTCCTGAGAAACTTTGTACTGGGGATTCATCTTTTATTGTGAACGTTGGAGAATCGGATGGAGGCTGCTCTGAGTGGGACTTAGCCCAGCCTCAGCTAGCCAGGGTCACTGTCCCAGGTCATTCCTGTCCATGTGTCCTCTCTACTGGTTACTTCAAAACTGTCTTGTTACTTAGTTTCCTCAATCTAATTCCTTTGACAGGAGCTGCTAATAGTGAAGTGAATGTGTTTTCTCTTTCTTGCTCCTTCTTCTTCATCCATCATGGAATTTTAGTTGATATGCTGCCTCTTGTATTGTTTGCTTTTCTCTTAAATATACCCAATCTGTCAGCTTTAAATAGGAAATAAAGGAGAGGAAATGGACCCTATATTTTGAATTTCTGCGCCCTTATTTTCCTTTTGTGTGGTATCATTCTCCCTTCCCAGGTGCATAGCCTTCACACTGCTCTGTGACCAAATTCTGCAGAGTTGTGGTCCTTTACGGCTCGGTGGTTTGTTGTCATCGCCACAGCTGCTGTTCTGTGTTCTCTCCTGTGCCTGGGATGGGCCTTCTGAGGAGTTCTCCCAACAAGCACATTACCTGAGCTCTTGACGTTTTAAGTTATTTATTTGTACTGATCCTACAGTCTTGCCAGATTTAACCTTTTGAGGTAGCACTTGCTTTTCTTGAGGGTTTATTGTTTGTTTTTGAACTTTGGCCTTTTGTTCTCCTCGCTGCTGTGGAAAGCTCTGCCTGACTTCATTTCTGTGGCTGATTGATGTGCTCTTCTTCATCTTTCTTATTTTTATCCTCTGTGTCCATGAACACATTTGTCATACTGGAGTTTCCTTTACTGATTATTTTCTCAGTTTTGTTTTATTGTGTCCCTTTCCTCTTATTTAAAAAAAAAAAAAAACTCTGTTTACACAGTTCTTATACTGATTCTCTTTTGATTACTCATCCCTCAAAAATACATATTTCTTTTTGAACACCATTGGTAATAAATTCATGTCAAAGAGACAGAAACACCAAAGCCCTCGTCTAGATGGGCAGGCTTTCCTTTGTATAACAACTCCATATTGTAACCTGCAGTCCTGCATACATATGCCCACACTTGTTTCTCCCTGATCTGTGGCAACAGGATTTCGGGATGCAGCCTCTTCTCTGCTGCTACCAAAGAGACACACTGCCTCCTGCAGCTACAGCTTTGCCATGGACATCCTCACCATTAACCTCCCTAGGGACCCCCAGTTTGCCCCTTACCTCAACTCCAATCACTGCAGGCCCACATTTAGGTCATGGACTCTAGGTTGTGCTGGTGGGGAGCCTCGTAGAACCTAGAATGTGGAGGCCCTTTCTGTATCGTGTAGGACCTCTGCCTGCCTCCTTCTCCACCTTGCTGGGCTCCATCTCCAGGGATTCTGACGGGTACCCACGTCTTCTCTGGTTGAGGCTACACTGATTATGCCAGTGATGAGGTTCTTTCCGTCTCTCACTGTCATTTTCCTCAGAGCTGTTTCAGTAGGAGAAGGAAAACTGCCAGCTTAATGCCTCCAGAGAGATTGCTAAAACATAGGATACCATGTCACTGGGGGAAACCCTTATGTAGTGCTTATTTAATTTTGGTTATTAAAAAATCCCATTGTTGATTTAAAACTCTGAGGCCCCATGCCTGGGAACATCCTGCTTTCTCTACGTGGTATGTAGGAGAATGGAGTGATGGCTGCATGCTTTGGAGAATGACTTTTGTTTTTCCTTCCAGAACCAGGTGGAAAAAGCCATGTCCATTTTTTCCCAAATCATGAATCCAGAGAGTATAACCTGTACTAACTTAAATGTAAGTGATTTCCTTGTAGTTTAAAGTGAGTTGGAATGTGGTCAGATGCCTGCTGTTTTTGTCTGTGTGCAGTGATCTGATTGTCCAGCGTTGTCATTTAGTTAAAGATAGTCACTTACCGAACTTCTCTCTGGGAAGAGCCATCCTATGAGAGAAGTCGTCGCCACAGAGCTTCTGGGAGATTATGAATGGTGGGGCCGTGGGTCCGCTCAGGTATACGGCAGGGTGCCCACTGGACGTTTGAGGCACAGGTGAGAAGGCTGTAGGTTTGAGAAAAGAGGGTGGTTGTATTAGCCAGACTCTTCCCTGGCCCTGGGTGAAGCCTGAATGCTAACTGCATCCATCTGTGGTAGCTAACTTGTGATGTGCATGTGACTGGTAGGCCACTATACATGCTGTCTTAGTTAGGGTCTTTATTGCTGTGAAGAGACACCATGACCATGGCAACTCTTATACAGAAAACATTTAATTGGGGTGGCTTGCTTACAGTTTCAGAGGTTCAGTCCATTATCATCATGGTGGGGAGCATGTCAGCATGCAGGCAGACGTGGTGCTGGAGCTGAGAGTGCTACAACTTGCAGGCAACAGGAAGTCGACTGACTGTCACACTGAGGGAAGCTTGAGCAAAAGAGACCTCAGAGCCCGCCCCCACAGTGACACTTCCTCCAGCAAGGCCGCACCTCCTAACAGTGCCACGCCCTTTGGGGGCCATTTTCTTTCAAGCCACCACACTTGCTGTGCAGTCCGTAGGCACTGGGGAGATGGCATCTATTTGCATTGTCGGTCTGCCGAGGGACATCTACCTGTTGGCTTCTCTGGGCTTCTGTGCCACCTGTGTGGGGCCTTGTTGGGGGTCTGCAAGGGGCTGCGCTCATTCAGCCAAGACATGTCAAATAGTCACACTGAAAACAAGTTTTCTCCCAGGACACTAGGTGGGCCTCAGTACTAAAGATCACAGCAGTCCTGTCCACTACTCCCAGTTTTTGAGCAGTGAGTCGGCCAAGGCTTTTGGACCAAGGAAACAAAGACTGTTCTGTCTTTAAAGAAGCACGTCCTCCACTCGGCCAGCCCCGTCTGAGCCCTTGCCTATGAACTGAGTGGGTCTGTGCTGTGGGGAGTTGTGAAGGACGAGCCCCCACCCAACTTTTTAAATTTATTCATTTATGTATATGCGTGGTTTGGCTGTGTGTATATGTGTGCGCCATGTGCATGCCCAGTGCCTAGGGAGGTCAGAAGAAGAGGACATCAGATCCCCTAGAACTGGAGTTATGGGTGGTTGTGAGCTGCCCTGTGAGTACTAGGAACCAAACCTGGATCCTGTGCAAGAACCACAAGTGCTATGAACCACTGAGTCATCTCTCGAGCCCTTCAGATTCCCACCTCTCATTGTCTTGTCTTCTAAAATGATCCAGGGGTTACGCTGAAGAACTCCTTTTGGACTAGAAGTATGTCAGCACCAGTGTGACGTGAACTAGGTCACAACCGTGCCGTGGGTGTCTTGAGATGGGACTGAAGGAAGGACAGAGCTGGGCTGCAGAGCCGCTAAGGAGAGTGAAGGAGACTCGATGGGTTTGGACTGAGGCATTCCTGTTGGCTTCTGTGTTTGCTTCTAGCTGGGATGCTGTGTTAGGGGCTGTGGGCCCTTTGGGACTGCGGCCTCCATAGTAGGAGAGAGCCAGTAGGGGGTGCACTTTGAAGGTGCTTTCTGCTCTGGTTCCAGCCTGAGCTCCCCCAGACCAGCCAGATGGAAGAGCTTCTTCTGTCCCAGCCTTTGCAGCCAGGCCTGTTCCGCCTCCAAGCCCTCCTCCCTTAATTTCTTTCTGTTGGCTGTTTTCTCACATGGCAAGAACAGCGACCACTACAGGTCAGCTGTGGGGCGGCGTTCTGGAGGACAGGGCTGTGGGGCACAGGACAGCTGTGGGGCACAGGTCAGCTGTGGGGCGGCGTTCTGGAGGACAGGGCTGTGGGGCACAAGTCAGCTGTGGGGCACAGGTCAGCTGTGGGGCGGCGTTCTGGAGGACAGGGCTGTGGGGTACAAGTCAGCTGTGGGGCGGCGTTCTGGAGGACAGGGCTGTGGGGTACAAGTCAGCTGTGGGGCAGCGTTCTGGAGGACAGGGCTGTGGGGTCGGAGGGACGTAGGTGAAAGGACAGTGCTTTCCCACAGATCACTTTTTTGTTTTTTTGGTTTTTGTTTTTGTTTGTCAGTTTGTTTGCTTTTGTTTTTGTTTTTTTTTTGAGACAGGGTTTCTCTGTGTAGTTTTGGTGCCTGTCCTGGATCTCGCTCTATAGACCAGGCTGGCCTTGAACTCACAGAGATTTGCCTGCCTCTGCCTCCCAAGTGCTGGGATTAAAGGCATGCGCCACCACCACCCAGCTAACAGATTGTTTTTGGTGAGGCTTTCCATGAAAAGAATACACTGCTGATTATAGCCACCTCCTACTAGCTTCAAGTCCTTGGGTCCAGTCCACGGGATTCTTTAGGCTTTGTGTCTGACCTCAGTTTTCTAAGTATACCTTGAAAGCTTACCTAGCTTACCTAGTACACCAGTACAGGGTGGGCACCAGTACAGGGTGGGCACCAGTACAGGGTGGGCACCAGTACAGGGTGGGCACCAGTACAGGGTGGCATCTGAGGGTGATTCTGAAAGTTATTACCTGTAAGTATTACTGTGTTTCCTCAGAAGCTTGGAGCTCTGCTTAGATCCTGCTCTAGGACTTGTTACAGAAAGATTCCTGTTATTAACTTACCTCATGTCAGTCACTGCCGGTATTGAACACTGACTGCTTCCTGCCCCGGGCTAACTGCTTCATATCCATTCTTTCCTTTAATCATCACAACAGAAGGACAGCTATTACCTTCCTCTTGTTTCCCGTTGGATCTGGACACCTCTAGTGTCCAGGTGCGAAACTGCCTCCTAGAGAGTGTCTTCAGATGTGCTCGTTTCCTGGTGGGATGGGAGAGGTGCTGGGACTCGGAGGGAATCTCCCACCAGCACCAAGTGGCTGAGGTGTTAGGAAGGAAAACTACGCGTGAGCGTGGGGGGAGAGATGCGGTGCGTGAGTTACTGTTGGCTTTCCCTGGAGTAGAGATGACGGTAGTGGTGGGCGCCTGAAGAGGCTTAGACAGGCAGGTTTTCATTTGACTTTAGCTAAGGCACCAGGCTAGATGCTTTGTGATTTGTTAGTTTTGTAGAGTCCTGTTGGGACGTATTACTCTGTGGTGCAGATGTGGAAAGGGATAATCCAGGGCAAATAAATTGCCAAGTTCTCACAGATCAGTGGACAACGGGGTTTTAACACAGATGGCACGCTACAAAGCCGGGTCTCCCATCTCTCCAGGGAGATGAGATGCATGAAGATAGGAAGGAAGTCTGTGCCTGCCATCCAGACCTGGGACTCTCTACTCCTGAATAGTCCCGGGAAGATCAAGGTCCTGACAAGCATAGCCCGCTCACTGCCAGTGCAGGGGCCCGTTCTGTGGGTTAAGAGTTCTCCCATACCTGTCTCTCACGGTTGGTACAGAAATGCAGTAATTTCTTTTTCCAAATGAGAAGATGTTTTGGTGGGGATGTACCTTGAGCCTGTTGAGAAGGGGGAGAAGTGTATCCACGCCCTGTGGCTGGGGCCTGGGGCTCATGCACTACAAGGCAGCTTCTGTTCTCCGATGTGGGAGGAAAGCCAGCCAGCACACGGGTAGAATCACCATGTTGTGGTTAAGGACCACACGTAAGGAACCTTGAATTAATGTTAAATTTGAATCTCTTCGTGAACGCGGTCATGGAATTACCTACTATTGGGAAACTTTAATAAAACAGTCTTATTCTTTAAAAATTCCCACTTGGGAAACTTCTCGATGTCCAATCTAAACCCCTCTGTTGCATTATAAACCTGTTTCTTCGTCCTCTGGGATGACAAGAAAGAGACAGTGCATTCGTTGAGGAGGTTTTCACATCCGGGTCTTCTGCTGGCCTATGCTCTTTAAATGACGTAATAGGCTTCAGCTTTTCCAAGGTGGTCATCTACTTGGAATCCTTAACAATTTGTTAACCTCACAGGTGGGCTGACAGTGAGAGTCTGTTGAGTCAATATTAGTAAAAATAGATGAAAGTTTTCTTGGTCTATTTTAAAAATCAATGTCTTACACTAAAATCTTTTGCTGCTGTGCATTAGAATTTGAACTGACCTAATCCTCCCCCAACTTAATTTTCTTTTTATCTGAATTGCTTCTGCTGCCTATATGACCCAGAGGAGCTGGTTTCTTCTTTTCCTAGCTGACACTTGCTATATCCCGCATTCATTTAGTCTATGATCTCATCAAGACACATGTGTGCTGACTCCAGCCCGTCAGCCTCAAAAGAACCACAAGCCCTCCTTGGCAGTGTTACTCAGCATCACAGAGTGAGTTTCCACTCCCAGAGGCCAGTGCGGGCCACTTGGTGATCGCATTTGGATTCTTACCATTTCTCTAGGAATCTGGCGGGACTTTAGAGACTCATGTGGAACAGAATTCACCTCGCAGAGGTGTTGACAGTGGTTAGTGTACCCACTGCTCTCATGTGTTTGTTAGACTGGTGAGTGTCTAACTGCTCCCCAGTTCCAGCTCAGGCTGAGAAGTGTTCCATTCTGTTCCTTAGGACTAAAGATAACCCCTTCCCCAATGAGCTGCTTGCCCTCAGATTTTGTTTGTCTCTCAGGAGTCCATCTGTTGGAGGCTTGGCCCTTAGCGTGATGAGAACGAGGCAGGAGACCTTTAAGATACAGTGTCTCCATGAGGCTCCATCCTTTTGTGAGGAGCTATTGGCAATTAGTGGCGTCTGGAGGATGCAGCGTCGTTTTTCTTCAGGCGTGTAGCCACTGTGAGCTACCCGTGATCTAGTAAATAACCCATGCATGTGCAACCCTAATTAAACTCTCGGGTATTTTTTAAAAGGACACGAAAATAGGAGGGCATGTCGGGAAGAGGAAGTATTCCAGAGGGAGTGGCATGGGGAGAAGAGAAGGGAATGGAAGGCTGGGTGTGGTCAAAATTCATTATATACATGTAGGAAATTGTTTAAAAAATACTTTTTTGAAGTTGGAAGAAAAAAGGAGGTGCCTAGAGGGTGGTCCTACTAAGTCACTGGAGGTGTGCTCTCAGGAGGGACGATGGTCATTGTAAGAATGTTCTAGAAGCCTAGTCAGGCCCCACCATCTGCTCTCCGGTTTCCTCTTTGAGATATGATCCCCGCTTCCACATCTGCCATGGTATGACTCAGGTGAGCGCCTTCCCTGGCTGAGCTCAGGTCGGCTCTGTGGCCTGCACCTCCAGAACTGGGAGTCAGTGATCTTCTTCCCTTCCTGAATAGCCTGCATCAGTTTTGTTATGACAGTAAAAATCCCAGTGCTCCAGCAAACAGACGTTACAAAAGGGGTGGGTGGCCCGATACAGCTAGCTCTGTATGGAGAGGAAACACTGCCTTTCTTAGGGATCGGGCTTTAAAAGTGTTTATTCCTTTTGGTTTAATCCCTTTTTTTCAAGTTTAAAAAATTACTGGGTTTTTTCATTTTAATGTATATACATCAATCAGTATAAACAATATATATGGTATGGCTAATTGCTGTACATTTATTCAGTATGTGGTCTTAGTCCAATTATTTCTAGTGTTAAGCAAAATTATTTAGTAACTAGCAAAGGAAAAATCTAATTTTGGGGAAAATACATTTTGAAGGTAACACATCAAATCATAAATAGTGATTAACATTGGTCGGTGAATTCTCAGTTATTCTCATTTTTTAAAACTTTTCTCTGTGTCTCAGATTGTCCTCTGAGTACTGATGATGAGATTAAGTGAGCCTTGCTCCTCCGTGTGCCGTGTGTGCCAGGCTGGTGGGAGCCGTCAGCAGGGCCGTCTTGAAAGCTTGGGTTGGCACCCAGTTTGGAAGGGTCTTTAATGGGTGCCGTGCAGATAGCGAGGCTCCACTGAGACCTGGGCCAGCTTCCACTCCGCCTGGCGCAGCCGGTGTGCTGCGGTTAACTGACAGGTGAAAGGTGCCTGTACCTGCTGTGCTGGTGTTTCACTTAATGTTCACAGTGACAGGACGGGGCCTTGAGACCACCTTTCCACTAACAGATGAGGAAGTTAAAAGCCATGTTTGCATGTGGGAGTCACATAGCTAGTGATTGCCAGGGGTAAGATTTCTTCAGCCAGGCACCGTGTGTGTGTGTGTGTGTGTGTGTGTGTGTGTGTGTGTGTGTGTGTGTGTGTGTGTATGCAGAGGTCAGAGCATAACTGTGAAGTTGTTTCTCATTCTTTTTGTGGAATTCAGGAATCAGACTCAGGCTTGTGTGGCAAACACCTCTGCTCTCTGTGGACCTCGCTGGCCCCAGCAACCGCAGTGCCGTTAGCGATAGGAAAGTACACTATTGCTAGTGGGCAGACATGCAAAGCACTTAAAGGACAAACAAAAAACGGATCTGAGCAAAGGAATCAGGAAATACTATTAAAAAATGCATGTCTGCCAGTGCACATTGAAAAGCCAGCTCAGTCTTGTCTGTTCTTTTATCCAGATTTTAATCCATGTCCGGTCAAATATGTTGGAAAACGTGATAAAGATCTTACAAGACACTGTTGACAGGAATGTATCGGTATTTGTGAAAAGACACACGTTCTCAGAGGATGTGGTAAGTGTGCCGGTGCCAAGTGCAAGGGCGCCCTTCAGCTCACCTGGTGTAGTACCCGAGTCGACCCCTTCAGCAGGAGGTCAGACCCAGCCGTGTCTCCTGCGGTTTCAGGACGCGCATGCTCAGTGCGAAGACTGTTTTTCCTCCTGGTGTAATATGGCTCCTGGGAATCTCGGGGAACCGGCTTCTCTCAAGCCTCCGGTACCTTTTCCGCGCTCCTCACTCTCAGCTAACCCTTGCTTCCTGTTTGAGGGAGGAAATAGAAACAAGCCGAAGAGAGTGACTAGCCCACCATCAGCCGCTGGCTGTGGTTGCTGTATGCCCATGGTGACTGCGCGTCCCTCTCTCCAGCATCTCCGTTGTCCGTCCTCCTTTCCCTGCTCCTGGACACTGTCTGTCTCTCCTTGTGAATCAGTCCTATCAGCTTTACTGTGTATATTATCTGTCCTACAAATGAGAAGACACATGCTGGGTTTAGCTAGGAAAGCTGGACCTTACAAATGCCAGTTCTTCCAAAGTTAACGTGGTAAGGTAACTTTGGAAGAACTGGCATTTGTAAGGTCAGTAAACAGACCACTATACTTTTCCTGTGGCTTAACTTAAAACAAACAAGAAGACTAGCTTGTTTAAAGGAAGGAATGGCTTGAAGATACAGCTCAGCCATTCTCTTCCCCAGCTCTCAGAGTCCACCTTACTTATTTCTCACAAGGTCCTGGGGACCAGTGAGCACCGGAGATCTGCCTCTCTCTACCTCCCAACTTCCAGATGAAAAGCCCGCCTTTTTGGATCATCCTGGCTTTTTACATGGGTGCTGGAGATCAAATTTGAAGTCTTTAGTTTTGCAAAGCAGACTCTTTGACAAAGCTATCTCCTCCCGCCTCCACATAAAACCTTTCCTCACATTTATCTGTTTTTATATTTCTTTATTTTGTGTATGTGTATGGTGTGTGTGCGTGCCTATGTGTGTCTGAACACACATGTACCACAGTACATGTGGAAGTCAGAAGACTTTTTCCAAAGTTGGTTCTTGCCTTCCACCATGTAATTTTGGATCCGGGTTCTCAGGCTTGGTGGCAAGCACCCCTACTTGGTGGCAAGCACCCCTACATGTTGAGCCATCTTGCCAGCCCTAAAAATTTGATTTTGTGTGACTGAAACATTATAGCAAAATAAAAAGGTGAGTAATCTTGAAGAAAACACTTTCAATTTTTAATCATATAACAAAGAGCTGAGCAACCCTAATACAGAGAGTTCTTTTTGAAAATTACAAGAAAAGAACCAAGAGCCAGTGCTGAGGAGAGACGGAGTTCACTTAGGACTCTGAATGCCTTTAAACCTTTGGGAACCTCTCAGGCCTAACTGCATTCCTCAGAATCCCAGCCATTAAGTGAGATACATGGCCAGATACCTTTGTACATTTACATTTCAACTAATGTAGAAAACCAAAAATGTCACCAAAACAGGTATGAAAAAGTGGCTAAGGAGTAGAAGTAGGATTTCCCTGAGTGTGCTTTGTACATTTGGCTTTGCAACAATAGTAAATGCTTCCTAAACACTAAAATCAAATTAAATATAAATGAAAACAGCAGTTCCTAAAAATTGAAAACAGTGAAATAAATGAGCTCCTGTGCCTCACTGAGGACGTGAGCACACAGCAGAAGTTACTGCTGATCATTTGAAATGTAGCCACTATTTTAAAAGCTTTACCTATTACTTGTGTGTACCTGTGTGTGCCTCTGAGTTTATTTGCATCATGTGTCCAGATGCCTGCAGAGGCCGGAGGGCATCAGGTCTCCTGGAAAGGGAGTTACAGGAGGAGGTTTTAAGCTACCTAATGTGGGTGCTAGAAACTGAACCTAGCTCCTCTGCAAGAGCAGTAAGCACCCTTAACCCCTGAGCCAGCTCTCCAGCCCAAAATGTGGTCGTGTGTACCTCCAGTAACATGCAGAGGGAGGGGTGAAGACCTAAGAAAGCGTGTTATTACCGCTGGTCCTGCCGTTGGCGATCCTGCTCACACGTCACTCGTTCTGACCAAGTGGCCTGTAGACGGTCCTCCTTCCTTTTTCCACTGTCCTGTGCTTTGCCGGTTCTGGTCCAGGCTGAGTTGGCAGAACAGGCACCTGGGGGGCAGGTAACATTTCCTTCCTCATCATTCATCATCCCAGCTCTGTCCCACCTGTCTCCTCCCTTCTGCCCATAGACGTCTTCCTGCCAGCAAGGAAGTGGTCAGGAATCTCACTGGCCATGATTGGCTTCTTCCTATTAGAGGTCTTCACTTGGACTGGGTTGGCATCTTCCCAGACCATGTTGGAGTAAGTTTAAAAAAGCAGAGGACATGGAGGTATGAACAGACTGTAGGCTGCACAGCTGTGCCTGTGTGTGCTGGAGATCATGTGTATACGCACATGCGTATTTGTACGTGCACACACAGGAATGTGTGATAACAGTACCGATGCAACTTCCGTTTTTCTCAGTCGTTATTTTTAGTAAATCATCACGGCCTGTTGTCACCCATTTATGTCTACAGCACACAGACAAGCCTCACCCTGAAAACTTGCCCTGGCCTTCAGCCTGCTCCCCCTGGTTCCTGTGAGACTCTCGGGGAATTGCGTGATGGGAAAGCTCCAGTGTCTTTTGAGCTAGTTGTTTTGTTTTGTTCACTTGTTTCTTTGTTGTGTTGTCATTGTTGTTTTCCGAGGCAGGGTCCTGCTGTGCAGCCCAGGCTGGCCTGAAACCCAGGAGCCTCCGACATTAGCCTCTCAAGTGCTGGCATTTCCACCAAATGAACGCGTATGCCTGGCTTTAGCTAGGTCCGTGTGTGTGTGTGGGGGTGGGGGTGGGGGGGGGGGAGAGGAGAGAGAGAGAGAGAGAGAGAGAGAGAGAGAGAGAAAAAGAGAGAAATAGGGAGAGAGAAACAGACAGAGAGACAGGGAGAGGGTGGTGGGGAGACAGACAGATTGCATACAGACTCTAATAAAACTATATTTTTAAAGATTTTATTTTATTTTCTAAATTTTATGTGTTGAGTTTTTTGCTTACATGTATGTCTATTCACCTAATGTATGGAGTGGCCTTGGAAGCCAGAAGAGGGCACCAGATCCTCTGGAGTTGGGGTTAGAGACCCGTTGTGAGCCAGCATGTAGGTGCCAGGAACCAAAACTGGCCCCTCTGTGAAGCAGTGGGTGCTGGTAACTGCTGAGCCATCTCTCCAGGCCCCAAACTATGCTTTGAAAATCCTGTACTTAATGTTCGTACCAGTAGTTATTAAAAGTGTGTTGAGTCTGTCAACTGCTGTAGATAGAACACCACAGAGGAGTACAGGAGAGTGATTTTGGTTTTCTGAGATGGTGTTAATGAAAGCGCTCCAATGTTAGCTGTTTCTTCATTGATTTTTTTAAAAACTAAGTTAACAGAGCACTATGATGTGATCTCACCTGCATCCCGTGGCTGTTGGGAGGCTGCTGAAGGTCTCTGAGGTGATGGACCCACTGTGGCTAGTGCAGCTGGGTGAACGTCCCTCCTGCCTGTTCTGCTCGGCTTCCGTGGGAAGCCTGTGCCCCCACATGAACGTGGGTGGGGTGCATCGTCCCACCTTGAACCTGAGTGCTGAGCGAGCTGTTCTCACAGAACATGAAGCTGATTGTCTGCGGTTCAGTCAGGAGCCCGTGTCTGGAAGGAAGATGTACCGGTGTCAAACAGAGTTAGGATTTATTTAGAAGACGCCCAAAGGATGTTAGGAAGCTTGACCTTCACTGGGATGTTAGTCTGAGTCCTCAGTTGGAATTGAACTAAGGAAAAGGTTGACTTTGTTCACATCCTGAGTTTGAGCTGGCCCATTTTTGTAGGGTTAGTACCATGGGCTTGTGACTACTGTTCTACATCTGGTCTTCTGCTCTGTATCTCAGGCCTGTCTAGCCAGTGGTCTCCTTGGCATGTCTACCTTGATGTTTTACCTCCAGAACAGAATTCCAGATCTCCCCATCTCAGTCAGTGACAGTGTCCACCATCATGTTCCTAAGACCCAAGTTAGGAAGGTGGCATTGACCTTGTTTCCTTCAGCTCCTAGCCAGAGTGCCTCACTGTATCCACAGTGTGCCTCACATGCGTCCACCTCTCCATCTTTCCTGTGTGTTTCCCAGTCTAAATTTTTTCTCCTCTAGGCCATGATGTGGGTTCTGGAATTGTCTCCACATTTCTGCTGCCGCCCCCCCCCCCCGCCCCATTTCTCCTCTGTGCGGCCTGTTAAGTCTCGATCACACCATAGCCCCTGTCATCCCCTGGCTTTTAGGATGAATTCCAAGCATCTTTCCGGGGACTGTATGTGAAGTCCACATGATCTGGCCTACCCCTGACTCACCCTTACCTTGTTGATTCTGCTGGCATTTGACCTCTTCCAGTTATGTTTTGTTGTAAAGCGTGTGCTATTTGAGTTCCTTTTATAAGGTAAAATGATACAGCTTTAGTTTTGAACTTTGTGTGTGACTCACAGAGGCTCTTACATTCAGTTGTGCCTGTGTGCCCTGGTGTTCATCTTTATGAGTATGCTGTCCATTTCTGAATGTCTGTTTTGCTTCTTAGAGAATAGGAAGACATCATTGTGATGTAATGATTACTCTTTTTTCCAGCTGGCCAAAGTGAGGGAAAAACTGAAGGACAACCCCACCCTCACAGCTAAGTTTGAGGAGGTCTATGCGAAGCTGCACATTAACGGCCAAGTCTCCGTTTACACGTTGGACGCTATGCTCTGCCATGTCCCCCTGGACAAGAAATCCAACACAGTGCTATTAAGGAAGAAGATGAGGACGGTCAGCCGACGGACCTTACAACCGCTCAGCCAGACCCTGCTGACTGAGTAACTTGTTTTCCACCTCCCGGGTCTGCAGGAGCCGCTTGGAGGCACCTGCTTTAGGTGAACTATTGGCTTCTCCAAGATGCCGGGCATTTCACTGCAGTGGCACTGTGCCTGTGCCCGGTCTCCTAAGTCCCGAGTCCCCTGAGTGGTGATTTGCTGATCAGAGAGATGCGAAGAGCTAGCTCAGGCAAGGAAAGCGTGGTTGCCACAGAAAGGCACCTGTGTCAGCTGCTCCAGAGTAAGGACCGCAGCCGCTAACGCAGTCCAGCACCAGAGTGGAACTCAGGAAGTACCGCAGAAGGAATTTCCCATGACCTCATCAACCTTGCCCAGCCTTTCACAGGAGAGACACCTTGCGAGTGATGTCCTCACTGAATTCGAGAGAGCCGAAACCCTTTCTACCATGTTGGAATGTCCAAGGCCGCCTTCTCTCATCTCTGCCATCATTTTTCCGTCTACAAAATAACATTGCCTGTGCGTGCTTGGATGATTTGACATTTTCATTCAGGGTTCAGTAGAGTGAATCTTTCTCCAAAACAAGAAATAAAAGGTGCCCGCACAGACTTGAGATCGTGTTTGTCTCTTCTCAGCGTGTAAACAAAACTATAAGTTAGCTTTCAGAATTGGTAAGTATGCCAAATTTAAATGGTTATTGTCTTCATCATTGGCAAGCCATAGATAGTGCTGGTAAAAACCGAGGGATGCTCAGTTTCCCTTTGAACATCATAAATACTCGGTCCTGCCTGTCACCGTGTGTGTGTGTGTGTGTGTGTGTGTGTGTGTGTGTGTGTGTGTGTGTGTGTGTGTGAGCTGCACTTTCTCTGTGTGCATTGTTTCTGTTACTTTGATTATTACCATTATTATCTCGACAGCAGGCTGTTTTTGGCACAGTCTGAAATGCAGCGTTGGATGAATTGTGCATATGGGATCATTTACAAAAGGAAGCCAGGAGCCATCTCACTCGTTCGTGTTTCTGAAGGGCCCAGCCAGGTGTTGAACCGCAGCAGAGACCAAGCTTGCTTCAGCTTGCCCCTGAGGCCGTTTCCAGAATAAAGTCTGTTCCCTTCATTGCTCTTCTCAGGCAAGAGTGGTCTTCAGAATCAGAAATTTTAGAGTTAGAGGAGTCTCCCGCACCTCCTAACTCGCTCCTCTTTCAGGTTGAGGAAATGACTTGTCCAAACTGGCAGAACTAATAGGGTGGGACACTAGACGACTGGTCTGGTATCCTTCCCACAGTGCCTGCCATCTTATGTCTCTTCTGAGGCTAGACAGTCCCTCCTGAGATCTTTCCAGACTGCTAAGGACTCCCGTGGCTTACTGTGTGCCCGTAGACCATCAGTTTGCTCCTTTGGTAAGTGGGGCTAATAGCCAGCGTGCTGACTTAAAGTGAGTGTGAACCCACCAAGAGTGTAAAGCAGGCAGACTGGGCCTGGCACCGAAGTGCTGTGCCACATCATCTCTTGTCACCACCTTAGTGGGTGGCAGAGTGGTCCCCCCTAGTTGAGGAATTGTGTGTCCTGCTCTGGCAGTACACAGGAGCCCATCTCACGGGTGTCAAACGGATTTTGCCTGTGTTCTATGAAGCATTAGACATCCTCATTTAAAACAAAACCCACTGGGCAGTGGTGGAGCACGCCTTTAATGCCAGCACTCGGGAGGCAGAGCCAGGCGGATCTCTGAGTTCAAGGCCAGCCTGGTCTATAGAGCGAGATCTAGGACAGGCACCAAAACTACAGAGAGAAACTGTCTCAAAAAAAAAAAAAAATTTCAAAAGTTTTTGTCTTCATAGACGATAATGGAGCCAGGCACTTGGGAAGCAGAAGCAGACAGATCATTACGAGTTCAAGGCCAGCCTGGTCTATAAAATGAGTTCCAGGCAACCAGGGCTGATACACAGAGAAACTATGTCTTAAAACAAACAAACAAAAAACCAAACAAGAAAA